ACAAAAAAAATTTAATAAATTAATAAATGTGATACAGTTAGGTGTAGTAAATGAAATTTGATAAGACAACTTAAAATGCGAGTGATTAAAAACATACAAAAGTTAAAAGCTGTGTTAGTGGCAGACAGAGATGCTTCACTACAGTTCAAATTGATCCGAACACTAAAAGCTCATCATGCAAGTAATAAGGAGCGCGTTTTTATCAGATCAATTATAAATAATTCTCTAATTATCGTTTTTATCCAACCAGTAACTATTTATTTTTCTATCATTTTTTTTATCCTTTTTAAAGTCAAAAAAATTCACGGTTTACATATAGATCTAATTGACTTGTTGGATTATCATTTGTTAACGTTTTTCATTCATTTTAGTACTAAAAAATAATGAAAATGTGTGGCAGTATTAAAAATGTATGGAAAGTTAAACAAAAAAATCAGAGCTATCAATTATCAGCATTTAAAGATAAAAAATGTTCTTTATAAGAAATTTTATCGAACTTCCATTGTAAAAATGCATCATAAGTAATGGACGCCAGTTTGAATGAAAATCAAATGTTTTCTATTGAAATTCCATAATCCGAGTTAGTTACTGTATAAATATCAATGATTTGCAATAATAGTAATGGTAGTAAAAGTAGTAGTAACAGTAATAATAATAGTGGTAGTAGTGGCTAAAATTGTTACAGTATTAAGTTTTTGCGAAAAAAAAGAAAAAAAAAAAAAAAACCCAATCCAAATCAAATAAACGTACAAATTCTTACACCAATAAAGTTATTTCATCGAGTTGAAATATAAGGTAAAGGTGTTCGCATGGCACACACTGTTGTTTCTTTTGTTTTTTTAATCTCAACTACGCCGTAAAGTGTGACGTAACAAATAACGATGAGGTAAATTCTTGACAACTTCCAAGTAATGTTACTTTAGCGGTGAAAGTTTACGAAAGATTACTCATTGACTTGCGCACATGGTACGAATCAAATAGTCGATACTGACTGACACTGACGAGTCAGAGTGAAAAAAAAAAAAAAAAATGAATAAATACCGATCGAGGGGGGACCGAAGTTCTGCCCCGGCGAGGAGAAGAAACATCCGCGGACCGTATTTTCGAAACGAAGTTTCTCCTATGCGGGCTCTGCGGTCGACTTTTTAACTCGCTTTTTAATTATATTTCGCGGCAGGAGGACTCGCCGGCCGGGCTCTTGTGTGTATATGCGTTCCATTAAAAAAATTTCGCGCACCCGCCGAGTGGTGAGAGAAGAAAGAAAAAAAAAAAAAAAAAAAAATTACCCGTCAAGTTTATCCCAATCAGACTCATCATTCGGTGATTCAGAGACCCGAAACCTCGAATCGAACGGCAGCTTTGGTTATCTACTGACGACTCTGGAAGAGCCACCCGTTATATCACCCCAAACCGAGTCGTCACCGCGTATCAGAAAAACCACCCCGGAGCCAGGCCGAGGGTTGTTCGTCACGATTTTTCACCCAAATCTCCCTCGTAAGCGCCCCATTCCGATACGCCCCGATTGGCCGACCTCATTTGCATGGAAATCGTAAATATCGGCTACGGACGATAGCCAAGGGAGAACGAGAGTTTCGAAGAAAAAGAGAAACACCGGCCTACACCTAGGCACAAACCCCCTCGCCAACTAATTAAAAAGTTGCATGCGCTCAAAAGCTCCGGCCGTAAAGCTCTTCGCGCCTTTTTTACCCCACCCCTCCGTGACAACGTACCAAAGGATCCGCGAACAATAAAACAATACACGGGGCAAGGCGAACAAGAGCTGCCCCCGCGCCAAGACGTCCAACAATGGTTATTGTTCCCATATTCCGCTGCGAACGCAGCTGGACTAATAAAACGGACGCCCCCTCCCTTCTATGGCCTTTAGATCCGCTGTTAACCGAGTTTGCTCCTTTCTTGCGCCGAGTTTTTTCTTCCCTTTGGAGCCCCGCTCTGCCAGCGAGTTTTTTCCCGGCGCGCTTCCGTTTTAATTAATGACAGTGGCCTCCGGGCCGTACACGTAGCTCCGCGCAGTGTGCAATTAACCGGGGGGGAGCGTGCGTATGCGTAATGTGACTACTTTTTGTTTGGTTTCGGGGGTAATGTGTGTTCTTTCCTTTTTTTTTTTTCCTTTTGGTACTCGGAAAACGCGAGAGCAGCCCGTTTGCTCCGGCTGAATCTGAGTGCGGGTGATTTTAGGAGGGGGTTACAATCTTTCAGGCGCATCAGGTAGATTATCAAAAAATGTCGGACGCGTACCCCTATTTTTTTTTGCACACGTAAACTGACGAAGATGGAGCGCGGGTGTATACGGCGTCTATCTTCTTTAGCCTGTTGTTCGCGAGGTGAAACGCGCGTCTACTGTTTTTGTACGTTATATTCCTGGGAGCCTATTTTAGAATTTTTGTGCGCGGTGGTGAGTGCCGGTATCGTTTGGCGATCGATCGCGAAGGAAAAAGTATTTTTTTTCAGCGACGCGTTTGTAGGAGGCAAAAAAAAAAACATGGAGCGATATCGTATAACGAGGCCCTTGGGCGCCGATTCGTTAAAATTAGAGTCCGCGCGTGAAATAAAGTTCGGCCCAAGTGCCGGCAGTGCAATCCCAAGAAGGGCGAAATTACAGCATTTACGGGAAATCCTCCCCGGCCGTTTCTCCCTCCTCCGATCGGCACTCCCGGGGACTGTTAAACGGCCTACACGATAGCCTTTGTATTTTCAATTTCCCCCGTAAAATCTGTGCTTCGGCTACATTCGCCTAATTGAGGCTCCAAAAGGGAGGAAAAAATCGATGGAGCGCTGGAGCTAATTGTTATTGGGCCTACGGGCGTGGGAAGATTTTTTCGGCTCGAGTTTACGGCTTACGTGTTGGGCCGATTCTTCGGTTATGGCCACTTTGATCGGAGAGGGTGGGCTCGGAGAAAGGAGAACGGCTGTTTTTGCCGAGCGAGAGAAAATGGCAACTGTTATCGCACCGAACGTGGCGATTATTTTCCAAACAAAACCCGTGAGTGTGACGAAAAAAAAAAAAAAAATT